TCACTCACTCACTCACTCACTCACGAGCGACCACCAAGAAGCGCCCTTTATCATTGGAATAGGGTTCTTATCTAGGTATGCTGTACTGAAGTACCGATGAGGAGCCCTAAGAAATAGTATCGATACGCATGCAACACACACACACACACATGCACAAACTACAGAAAAACTGCTTTCTTCCAGCCGCGGGGCTCTTGCACAGGCCTCTTGTACTCTGGCTTGCCGTCAATGGGCTGGTACTCCTTTCGTTTTCATCTTCGATGCTTAGGACTTGTAGGGTTAAGGGTTATGTTCGAAGGCAGACACCCGAACCTTCCAATATCGCTTGATTTAGGAATATACCCAGACGATAGTATGATCCCTCATATGCTTGAAAGTCTATTCCTCAATGAACGGATATAGGAAGCTCTGAGCGAGCTTGAGTTTTGTTACGGTTTTAACGGTATAGGGTCTAGGGTTTAGCGTCTAGCGTCTAGGGTTTAGTAGGGTTTCTATAAGGCTTCCATAAAGGTATATAGACCTTCTATAAGGCTCCTATAACGGTGACTACCCACCTGAAAATGTCCTAGACTAGGGCTTAGGGTTTAGTAGGGTTTACCCTAAACCCTAAACCCTCAACCCGGGTTCAGTGGGGTTTAGGGCTTAGGGCTTAGGGTCATCCACCGAATCTACGAAGTAGGCTGCGGCAGAGCACTGCTGCAAGGCTCTACTTCCTCGCGCAAGTCGTAAGCGCTAAACCCTAAACCCGCAGGCTTCTGACCCACAACCAGCATATCCATCTCCAAGCCCGCTTCCACGACAGCTGCAAGAGCAGGGTTGTCTTGCACAACTTTCTCCGACACATATGCCACTTGCTTCTGTTTGGCAAGATTGGACCGGCACTGCGTCGTCGTTGGCTTCATATGTCGTCTTGTTGCACACGCTCAGGCCGGCAGTTGCAACAGCCCAAGTCAGCGGCACTTCTAGGGCGCTTTGAAGGGCAGTGACATTGCCAACAATCACCAGAGCACGGGGTGCTTTATGGCTTGCACCAAATTCGGCAAGAGGCGGGAGCCGGCATGAAGTTGAAGATTGCCCGAGCTTTGAACACCTTCCGCACTGGCTTCGGGTTCAATGTAAATAGCTAGCCTTGAGCAGTCTCTTGCTTTCAATAGAATGAAATAGTTTAGGAAATAACTAGGCCTGAGCTTCATTTCTCTTTTGCAATAAGAAATGCCCAGAACACGAGGGTGCATTTCGCTCAGTTAAAGGCCTGCGACAAGGACTCCGGCTACCGAGATCGCAACGCTGGCTCGTTCCCGAACAAAACCTTAAGCACGAAATGAGCCTTAAAAGTAGGGGCCCTGGACCCATATACTCTGAATCCCTCTATGGTATATGAACCTGAAAACCTTGTAGGGTTCATTTCGTCATTAAGGAACACATGACCGAGGGGTGGTTCGGAAGACAGCAACATGCTTACTCGCGCGAGACCGTCCGCTTCCGAAAGGTCTGCATGTCTTTGGTGTCCCCTAAGCCCTAAACCCTAATTCCTCGGCGAGTTCGCAAACGCCAGCAATTTCAGCCCGGCCCTAAAACTGCACCGAGCCTATGCTGCCACAGCACGGAAAGCAGATCAGGAACATATTAGGGTAGTTCTCTAATTAGGGTCCATGTTTGGGTCCAAAACATAGCACGGCACCCGTATCAAAAGGACCCTAAACGGAACCCTAATTTAGAAAACTACCCTTACCGGTGCTAGAATGTTAGCTTAAAGTCAAAACCGTAACACCCCCCGGTCCGAAACCGCAAATCCTAAAACCTAAATAGGGTTTGTGGTTTAGGGTTTTTGGGTTTAGGGCTTGGGGTAAATAGGGTTTAGGGATCAGGGAGGGTAAATCCGAATTGCCCCAAATCCGAAAAGTTAAATCCTGAACCTAAACTCCGGTATAAACAAGCTGCCTACTGTAGAAGGGGCGCCGGGCCTTGTCTGTGGCTGTCTCCAGCACCTGAAGCCGTAGGGGTTCGAGATGGGTGTTTAGAGCTAGGGTCTAGTTTGCAGGGTTTCGGGTGCACGGTTTAGGGGTTTAGGGATTTACGGGTTTGGGGAGTTTAGGGTTCAGGACTCGTTTAGGCCCTTAAGGCGATGTTGGGTTTAGGGTATATAGCGGTTTATGGGGCCCTAAACCCTAAACCCTAAACCCCAAACCCCAAACCCTTTGGGGTTAGGGCTTCTCGGTGTGGGGTGTTGGGGGAGGTTAACCCTAAACCCTAAACCCTAGACCCTAAACCTTAGGGGAGGTCCCAGTCTTGGAGCAAAAAGCGCGAACAAGGCAAGATCACGTTTTCCGCGCCCGTCGCGCCTCAAGGGCCTTGAAGTTTCTGGAGGTGCGGGGGGGCTGGAAAAAGGGTTTAGGGTTTAGGGTTTAGGGTTTAGGGCAGTTGGTCAGTTAATATTTTTTGGATCATCATCGGGCAGCAAGGAAAATGTATGCATCGAGAACTCCACGAGGGATCACTGGGCGCGATTAAAATCTGCCCTAGACTGCTGATGTTGCGTTAGGTGTCTTAGACCACCCTAACAGAAAATCAGCTGCCTCAAGACTCCAATATCATCGCAGAGAAAACCTCACAAAGATCTATCAAAAGGCTGAGGGCCCCTGCAAAGAGAGAAACGGCTACACCATGTTCGAAACGGAAGCCCTAAACCCCTAAACCCCAAACCCTAGCCCTGAACCCTAAACCATAAATCCCAAAATCCTGAAAAAGGCAGGTTCTTTAGGGTCCCTAAACCCCAAACCCCAAACCCCAGAAATGCCAAAATCCTGAAAAAGGCAGGTTCTTTAGGGTCCCTAAACCCCAAACCCCAGAGACCCTAAAGTTGAGTCCAGCACGAGCTTCTCAGCCGCATGCACGGAAGGCAAGATCCAGGGCTTCCCCTCCTCTTGGCACATCGGCTTTCGGCGTAGGACTTATAGGGTCCTAAACCCTGTAAGCCCTAAGCCAGCCCTAAACTAAACCCTGAACCCTAAACTAAACCCTAAACCCTAAACCGTGGTTTACTGTAGGGTTTGGGGCAGGTCCGTTTTGGGCTTAGGGTGGTTTGCGTAACTTACACTTCGGTGAAAAAGCTCCCTGGGAATTCAAAGATTCCCTCTGCTCTTAGGGGTTACCTGTGTACCGAAACCCTACAAAATAGTAGGTCATGACCCCTGAATAAGAGGATATAACCCCTGATACGATAGGTTTTTGGATCCCCATATATACCGCATAACGAAGGTGGAGAGCTTGCGTAATAGAGAGGTCTTAGTGATTAAAATAAGGTTTTGGGGTGTATTATACTATATTTATAATAAGGAACCTCCAAAACAGTATAGGTAATCATTTAGGCCTCTATATTATGCCTCGGTTTTGAGCCAGGCCTTAGGGTTTGGATTTCGGGCTTTAGGCTTGGCTTCCTGAGCTTGGGATTTTGATCTGGGAGACGAGAGTCTGGGTTTAGGGTTTTGGGGTTTGAGGTTTACGGTTTAGGGCACTTCCGCGAACCTTCCACGTCTTCTGCACCCACTGCCGCAAAGGACTTTCTGCATCGAAGCAGGCTGCCCCCCAAAACTGTCGATGCATCTACTCAGTACTCCTTTTGACAGAGAAGCTAGGATTAGGGAAAGACTTCTGTTACAACACGGGTAGCTCGAGAGTTCCGGTACGGTTAATGCCCGGTCAGTACGACAATTCTCCCATTCAGCAGGTGCCAGTTGCCTCAGGCACACCCTGAGCAGTCCTAAACCGCCTTAAAGACCCTAAACCCAATTCCTTAAACCCTACATCCCCTAACCCTAACTGGCCATAAACCTAGAGCCTGACTCGCAGTAAACCCGCAACAAAAACTTTCAGCTATTTCAAGTTTCGCAGGGCTTTGGGTTGAGGTTCTGGTGCATTTGGGGCCTTTAGGTGCTTCTTGTTCATGACAGGTTATGATTGAGGGTTTAGAACCTTAGGGCTTAGGGTTTAGGGGTTGAGGCTTTAGAGTAAGCAGCAGGATCCTCGATTTGCAAAGACCGCGCTCGGAAGCCAAGCCAAGATTCTTGCTGTCGTATCCTTCAAACTGTGGGTTTAGGGTTTAGGGTTTAGGGTTTGGGGTTTAGGGCTTGGAAGTACTTTGACAGCCCACGAACATCCTACACACACCTTAAAATCCCGAAGCAATGAACCCCAAATCAAGAAACTCTCACAGCACCCCTGCAGGAACCCTCGAAGTCGTAAAAGAACCCTACCGTAAACCCTAAACCCTAAACCCCAAACAGGCAGTCCTCGGTACGGTACGCCCCAACGCTCAAGTTCACCTGCACTTCGGGGGGGATGTGACGAGTTTCTAGGCTTTGGCATCCTTTCATTCCTATTTTTGTTGGGAGGGGTTGGGGTTTAGGGTTCGGTTTCTTTAGGGTTTGGGGAGCTTAGGGTTCGGGCGGTTTAAGTTCGGTCTGTGGGCTTGGGGATATTCTGTGGCGCACCGGAAACCCTAGAGTCCCAGGGAAATGGATCGGTTTAGGGTTTAGGGTTTAGGGTTTAGGGTGACACCCTGCTTCCCACCCCCCTAAGGCCAGAAGGGAGAGGGCTCGAACCCCTCACGCGTTTAGGAGTTCAGTGGTTTAGGGTTGAACCCGGAGCACGAAACCCAGCGAAACTTTCAGTAGGTCTCGCTGAAGCCCTAGGCTGCAACTGCTCCAGCATTCGAGGTACTCTCTCTTCTTCAACAACCAGGCCCAAAAAAGTTCAAACTTTTTAGGATATACCAAATATATAAGGCCAAAAAGTTTAAAGTTCTCCTATTGGCTAACTAAGTACTCTTCCCGGGAAATCAGGCTCGAGTAGAAGGCAGTTGGAGAAGTGCAGCTACTACTATGAACAATTAGAGACGACCAAAGAACTCGATACGTGCTAGAAGCCCTAAACCCTAAACCTCTAAACCCTAAGCCTTTTGTAAGTGCGAGACAACCCAACATCCCTCCCATCCCCCCCACCATTCCAACAACAGAACCCGTTACCTGAACTGTTATCGTAGATTTTGGACCCTCTTATCCCCAAACGCACCCGGAAATCACAAAGCCCTTACTTCATGAGCCCTAATATACAAGCACCAATTTGTAGGCTCGATATGATTGCTGTAGATACAAACAAACAATAACAAATTCATTTGAGAACCCTTAAACATGAGGCCACCAATGATTTAGGTCACTAGATTAACTCTGGAAAACCCTTGTGGAACTCACACCAAAACCCCTGCAGCGCCTATCTACTTGATACGACTTCTTGCAGAAGCCCTAAACCCTAAACCCTAAACCCTAAACCTAAACCCACGAGTCCTACAACCCTCAACCCTGTGCCACACCTCAAGTTCCAAACTCCAATCTTAAAACCCCCTACCTAGACCCCCCAACTACCCTCTAATATACCCTAAAAACCCACCATTAAGGACCATAAGGGCTCTATTATGGGGCGGTTGGGGGTCCTGGTAAAAACCCAACAACCCTAAACCCTAAAACCCTAAACCCAACAACCCTACACCCTAAACCCTAATCCCTAAAAACCCAACAGCCCTAAACCCTAAACACCCCGACCCCGTGAGCCGTAGCTGGAGCCTTCTTCTCCGCGGTGCAGGCCTTGAAACGTCCCACCAAGCCAAGGATCGGGTCGGCAGGTGCCTGCTTTAGGGTTTAGGGTTTTGGGTTTTGGGTTTTGGTTTAGGGTTTAGGGTTTAGGGTTTAGGGTTTAGGGTTCAGGGTTTAGGGTTTAGGGTTTAGGGTTTAGGATCCCAACAGCAGAGTTGCTAAGGCTTTTTTTTTGGTGGGTTTAGGGTTGTGGCTTTATAAGTTTTCATAGGTTTAAGTAGGCTCTTTGAAGTTTGTTAGAAGTTTGTTAAAGGTAAAAAGTTCTATAGGTTTCAGGGGATTAATAGGTGTTGTCGGGCTTGTATAGGGCTTAATGATTCTATAGCGTTTTCGTACAGGGACCCTAATCCAAAGGGGGGGCTAAGGGTCAATGCGGTTAGGGCTCAGTGCTCGGAGCTGCTCAAAGCCCAAAAGCCCGGAACCGAACAAACAACAAACCCCAAACCCGTGCTAAACCCTAAACCCCAACCCCTAATCCCTAAACCCGACAAGACTCAAAGGACCGTTAGAGAGACTCTCTGTCTCGAGACAGAGTGCCTGATAATGTAGACCGCCGACTAAAAATAGAGTTCAGGGCTTAAGGTTTTCCCGGATATTCGCATCCCCTACTTACCCCCAGAAAAAAAAACGCAGCTGGGAGGCGGTTGTTAATCTGGGGTCCATGTATCCTCGAACGTCTAGGGCTTAGGGAGCAAGGGCTGGCTGCAGGGTTGAGAGTTCAGTTTTGGTTTAGGACTCAGAGTTGGCGTCTACAACGGACAAGAGCTTGATGTGACAGTTGTTCAAGGGCACTTATTGTGAGTTTTTGGGTGTTGGTTGAGGAGGCCTGTAACCGTCAACTCCTAAACCCTCTATAGGATGTTGCACGCATGGAACCGTTATGCGCGTCTTGACTTTTCGAGATCGGCGGCCTTTGTTAGAGTTTTCGGGGTGTGAGGTTTAGGGTTTCGGGCTTTAAGTGTAGGAATTTCACAATTGAGGCGCTGACATGGTGCTGCGATGTTTGGCATCGAGGAATTCCCTAAGCTTGCAATATCCGACTCGGAGCATCCTCGGAGAACTCTGTGTCACATGTGCCATTGCGAAGTTATATAGCGCGGTCCGTGTACTCATGCTGCGGACGGCTGAGCCACACATATCTCTGCCTGTGGGACAGCAGCGAAGATAGACATGGCGATCGCTGGGAGGTGGAGATGGGCCTTGGCGCTGGATTCGGAGTTTCCCTTGACCCCCTCTTCCAAAGAAACATGAAGACACAAACATCTTTAAGGACACATAAAAGGAAACCATGTAAGGAACCCTACGAAAGTATGTTATCTGCCTCTGGCATACTTGTGGATCCCGAAGCCTACTGCCCTGAGTTGAGGGTTTAGTGTGTTGGATTTAGGATTAAGGGTGCTCGACCTCCAAAACTAACTACCACCTTACAGGGTTTGGGGCTACAGGCACGATGTCTTGAAGCCAGCTATTCGCAAGCTCTCGCCAAGGAGTTCAACACTGTAGTCTTGTGTCCTCGTGATGGCTATACGAAAGCGCAGTAGATTGTCTCGGCACTTTCAATTCGATTTTTTCTCCGATCCGTTCTGGTCCAAAACTCTATGGAAATCCCAGCTGACAATACCACGGCACACTCCCAACTGCGATGACTTGATATTAATGACTTTCTCCTCGTTGTCGCAGCAAACTGCACGCAAAGAAGTGAAGTCTAGCAGTGGCTCGGCGGCAACACTTTCGCATCCTACGAAACGCAGCTTATATAGACACGCAGCCTTCTCTGGAGAAACGTCCTCTTTCCCTGGAAACCCCAAACACAAAACCCTAAAACCCAAGACAATGAACCCAAAACTCTTCGTGAGTTGCAAGCCGCATCCTCGGCCGTACTAGCCTATCGCAAGCTGGTCGGCAAGGTCTAGGGCTCAGGGTTTGGGAAGAAAAGTTAGGGCGTAGGGTTCTCTAAGCCGTAAACACAGTTTTGGTCCTGCAGCCCTGCACCCGCAAAACCCAACTGGCACTGGAGTCAAAAATCCGCAATTAAACAATTTCGACTTTGGGGGTTCAAACCCTGTGAATCGAAACCCTCACTCGCATCGCAGTCAAGTTTCACTGGAAGTGCCAGTCAAGTAGGAGCCAAAATGAGGACTCTGCTCAGATTGCTCGAGCCGACAATCGGCATTACATAATTACATGTCATGCGGTTCGGGGCTTCAGTTTAGAACCCACAACCCTGCATCCTAAGTTGTTATACCGTTACCGAGTTCACCATGGAGTTCATG